GCGCCTTCCCCGTGGCTCCGTGGGCCCCTCGCCCTGGAGCCCGCAGCTTCCCGAGGCTGGCGCGGAGCCTCCCTCGGGTGTGAAGCAGCCCCACGCCCAGGTCCCCCTCGGCCGCCCCCGCCTGCCCGAGCGTCTCCGTGGTCCTCGCTTCCCCACCCCGGACTCACTTCGGCCTCTGGACTCTGTGGCTTCTAATGGACCCGAGACCTGTGTGGCCGCGTCCGCCCGCGGAGCACTGCAGGCCCCGATGCAAACAGCCCGGGGTCCCCACTTTACTGGGGATGAGCTCTGCACCCCCCCCCCCCCCGCTTACCTCTTCCCTGCCTGTCCGGCTGCTTGTACCTGCGACCCTTCTCTTTCTCAGCCAGTCAGCTTCCCTCCCCCACACCGAGACTTTGAGCAGCCAGCAGAGGCCAACTGGGTGATGTGAGTTTCTCTGCTGCTTTTATGGGCTTAGTGTTTCCTGTTCAAAAGCTTAGAGATAAGCGGTCACTCACACCTGTCATCCTAGCTACTCAGGAGGCTCATATCTGAGGATTGCTGTTCAAAGCCAGCCAGCACCCAAAGTCTGTGAGTGTCTTTAACGGGCAAAAGGCCAGAAGTGGAGTTCTGGCTCAAGTGGGAGAGCACCAGCCTTGAGTCAAAAGGATCAAGGAATAGCTCCCAGGCCCTGATTTCAAACTTCAATACCAGCACAAGAGGTGGGGGGGAGGGGAGGGGAGAAAGAAGAGAGAGAAAGAAGAAAGGAATGAAAGAGAAAGCAAGCTTAGAACACCTGCCTTCGCTGAAGTCTTCCGGGTGTGACCTCCAGACTCATTCATTCAGTTGAACTGTCCCCCTCACTTCCTATTTGAGTATCTGTGCAGTCCCAGGCAGCTGCAATTCATGGATTCATTCCTCCAGTCAGGGTACCACGTACTTAAGCCAGAAAGAGGGTTAAACTTTGATTTCTCTGCATTAAATATATAAAAAATCTAGAGCTTTATACATCTGAAATCCTCTTGCCCTGCCATAACCCATCCCTTCCTCAAGCCAGATCAGCATGCTCTTCCCTTCATTTCCCTGCCAGAAGGTTCTTCTCCTGGAATGAAATCCAGCCTTCCTGGTGCATTAATGTCCCTCCCCCTCCCCCACAGAGCTGTCATGGAAACCTAAGTATGGGGTGTGGGATTTTCTTGGGCCACCTTTTTGAGGAAAAGAGTTAAAAGTTTCCCTTCCTTTCCACAGCCCTAGTGATGGTACCACCTCCTGAAAATGTCAGGATCAACTCTGTTAATTTCAAGAACATTCTACAGTGGGAGCGGCCTGCTTTTGCCAAAGGGAATCTGACTTTCACAGCTCAGCAGAAAAGGTAGGTTCAGGGATTCTTGGCAGAAGAGTGCTGAAAGATGGTAACCCTGAGCAGGGTCGCGTGTGGAGGGAAGGGGCTGCTGTCACCCGTGTGATCATGGAGTCTAGAAGGACCACCCGGCTGGCCTCCTTCTGTGCAGGAAATGCTTGAGATCAACTTTTCCTTATATGATTTCTTTTTTCTTTTTCTCTCCCCCCTCCCACCCCCAGTCCTGGGGCTTGCACTCAGCACCTGGGCACTGTCCCTGAGCTTAAGACGAGCACTCTACCACTTGAGCCACAGCACCACTTCCAGCTTATTCTGTTTATGTGGTACTACAGAATCGAACCCAGGGCTTCATGCATGCTAGACAAGCACTCTACCACTAAGCCACATTCCAAGTCCCTGTATGATTTCTTGGGTTGGTTTATGGTTTTATGTGTGTGTGTGGGGGTGGTTATTAGGCTTGAATTCAGGGCGTCATACTCAGACTTTTTTATCAAGGCTGGCACTCTACCACTTGAACCACACCCAGTTCCAGCTTTGGGCTAGTTAATTAGAGCTAGGAGTCTCTCTGTCAGACTTTTCTGCCCAGGCTGGCTTCAAACCAAAAGCCTCAGATCTCAGCCTCCTGAATAGCTAGGATCAGAGGCATGAGCCTCTGATATGTTCTCAGACAAAAATGCTCCTGCTGTCACCATGTTATTAGACTAGGTTTGCTAAAAGTCCACCGTGTACAGATGGCAGCTGTTTAAGAAACCAGGCGGTCAAGAAGATCCTTGCTGTACCGTCATCCTACCACAACAGTCTGGTGTCAGCCATGGGCCCCAGGGACAGCAATGCCTTGTCACCATGCAGCTGGAAGACAGCTCCTAGCTGATCAAAGCTCTTGTATTCCAGTAGAGCCTTGGAAGGAAGGGGACTGCTTTCACGACAGCTACCTGGGCAGTGAATGGTCTGAACTCTCTCCTTGTCCTGCTCATCCATGTGTTTGCCAGCACCTGGTGATGGAAGTCCACACCAGGTTGCCAATGGCAGCAGGAGGCTCAAGGCCAATGTATGTCAACCATCTGCTTCCCAAGTGACTCAAGTAGGAAGGCAGATGAACACTGTCCTGGAAGGCAGGGGAAGTCCCCTTTCTTATCCCAATCACCCCGCCCTCTTTTTCATCCTGCTCTTATTTGTACAAACATGCTCCAGGCTTGCAAAACCCAGGAAGAAGGAGGGGAAAAAAGAGTAAGATAGTCCTTGACTAGATGTTGTTGAAGTATGTTTTGTTTTGTACTGCTGGTCCTGGGGTTTGAACTTTGGGCCTTGTGCTTGCTTGACTTCCTTGCTCTGCTGGTGCTCTACCACTTAAGTCATGCCACCAGCTCTGATTTTTTTTGACGGTTGTGGGGCTTGAACTCTGAGCCTGGGAGCTATCCCTGAGCTCTTCATCTCAAAGCAAGCGCTCTACCATTTGAGCCATAGTGCCACTTCCGGTTTTCTGGTGGTTTATTGGAGATAAGAGTCTCAGGAACTTTCCTGCCGGGGCTGGCTTTGAACCACAATCCTCAGATCTCAGCCTCCCGAGTGGCTAGGATTACAGGCGTGAGCCATTGGTACCTAGCTATATCTCTGATTTTTGCTGGTTATTTAGAGATGGAAGTCTTCTGGACTTTTCTGTCTGGGCTGACTTCGAATTGTGATCCTCAGATCTCAGCCTCCTTCATAACTAGAATTATAGGTATGAGCCACCAGTGTCCTGCCTTAAGCATTTTTTTTGTCTTTTCTTTTCTTTTTTTGTACTGGGGATCTAACCCACACTGGTTTGGGACCTCAGTCCTCAGATCTCAGCTTCCTAAAAGCTAGGATTCTTACAGAGGTGAAGCCCCAGTGCCCAGCTGATCATATCTTTTTTTTTTTAATTGACTTACATTAGTGTCAGGTTACAAGACTACAAAACTATAACCACCAGGAATGCCATCCACCTCTACCCTAATAATACCTCCTGATGGGGATTAAATTTCAACAGGAGTATGGAGGGGACCAGTGCCCCTCTTCCTTTTTGCTCTATACCTTCCTTGCTTTCTTGCCATGGTAACAGCGGTGCTGGGTCAGAGGTGCACACCCTCCAGATGAGCCGTCTCAGTGTCTGCATGAAGGCGTGGGATAGGAGGGTGATTTGCTGAGAGTCAGTGTTGGGATCCGGGTCTTGTCTGCATGGAACAACAGACAGAACATGGAACACACTGAAGAAAACCATATCCAGGCTGGGCACTTCCTTGGGGAAGAGAATGATTCTGAAAGATCTGGTTCATTCTTCCATGGTTCCATGAAAGGGTTGCTTTGAATTCAGTCTAAGCAGGTCATAGCATGAGTATTTTTTGTGATTTTAATATGGAAATATCCAAAATTAGATGTAAAACAGGAAATGGTCATAGTATGTATTTAATCGGAAATTTTAAAAACAAACAGTAATGGAAAAGAAAAACTAAAAGAAAAGTAATTGCAAAAGACCTCCAGCGATACCATGTTTCAACCAGCTGATGCATTCCCTTAAATACAAGAAGTGACTTGATGTGATGCTGAAAAACAGGAGTGATCACCCGTGAGAAAACCAACTTAATGGAATGACCCTTGGATCTTCCATGAACCGGGATGTAAGGCAGCCATGACGAGTTGATGGATGCCAGAATGCTCTTGGTATACTAAGTGGAAATTCTTTGATCTCAATGACCTCGGTGATCTATTAGAAACCTCTTGCAATGCTCTGGATATGACTGAGAATGCATTGGATTATGATATATTCCTTCAGATTCTGAAGGCCTAGAAACTGAGTGTAAGTGGGCAGATTCCTAGTCCTTCCATGCCTGATCCCCTCAGCTCCATTAATGCTGCTTTGTTTTTTCTTAATCACTTTTACCATCATCGCTCCTTCTGAGGGCAGCCAGATTTGCCTTGGCACCTGGGCAGGCGCAGTGGAAAACCAGTCAGACAGCCTCCTCCCTTACAGGAAGACAGCCTGCACATTTCAAATTGTTGTGGTTGTTTTCCCAGAATAATAATAGTGCTAGTCATTTCTAGGAAGTCTTATTCTAGTTCATCTGTGGTTAACACACTCCTAGATCATGCCGTGTGTGTACTGCGTTGAGAGGGACTAAGTTTGAATGAAAGTAGATTACACGCATGTATGGAAATATTCCCCATGAAACCCTTTTGCATTATTAATATATGCTACTAGAGAAAAAGAAATCGATACTGGAGGAAGCGTTCTTGGTCAGGTGTATTTAATACTTAACCCATTTGGGGAGACATAGGAGCTTGTTAGACCCTTAAACACTGAGAAGTTATGTTATGGAAACATCTGTTTTTGTGTTTTAGTTCCATTTACCCTTATTTAGCCATGGGACGAATTCATTTTGAAATGCCTTATGAAATCCAAGGATCATTAAGAGCTCAGGTAACAGTTTGGAAGGTGCTGTGTATTAATAAATTGTGTGTCCTATTCACCAATGTTTAAGAATATTTAATTTAAAAAATTTTAATTTTAAGAATTTGCAGGGCATTTTAGCATATACCTAGAATCCTGGCAATAGAGAAGATGAGGAGGAAGATTACAAATTTGAGGCCAGTCTGGATTATAGTCTTTCTTTTTTTCTCATTATCCTCTGTTAGTCTTTGGTAGCAGAGAAAATAAAGCACCATTCAATCTCAGAGACAGAAGTTAGAACCCATTTTGTATATGTGTGTGCCGGGACTGGGGCCTCTGTTGCTTAAGGCTAGCATCCTACCACTTGAGCCATACCTCTCCTTCCAGCTTGTTGGTGATTAATTAGAAATGAGAGTCCTATGGACCTTTTCTGCCTGGGCTGGCTTCAAACCATGATCTTTAGATCTCAGCCTCCTGAGTAGCTGGGATTAGGGGTGTGAGCTACCAGCATCTAGCTAGCACACTTACGATTTTGTTTTTCTGATTGTCTAGTTACCAGGGATCCCAGAATGTATGCAAGAGTACCGTCTCGACACAGTGTGATTTCGTCAGCCTTTCCAAGTATGGCAATTACACGTTGAGAGTCAGGGCTGAATTTGCAAATGAACATTCAAAGTGGGTGGACATCCTCTTCTCTCCTATGGATGACAGTAAGCCATTTTGTTTTCCATTTGGTTGGGTGTCGTCATCTTACCCTTTTTTATTTTCATGTTTCAGAACCCACAGTAGACAGCCTTGTTCGAGGGGCTAAGGGAAAATAACAGTCTAGATTTAAACAAATCCTCATAGATGAGGGTTGGAGATATAGCTCGGGTGACAGAGTGCCTTCCTATAGCAATCACAAGGCCCTGAGTTCAAATCCCCGGCACTGCATTTAAGAAGTCCAGAGCTGGACGCCAGTGGCTCATGCTTAGCTTCTGAGGAAGCTAAGATCTGAGCATCATAGTTTAAAGACAGCTTGGACAGAAAAGTCCTACAGAATCTTATCTCCAGTTGATGAGTAAAAATGCTAACTGGAGGCTTGACTCAAGCATTAGAGTACCAGCTGTGAGTAAAAATGCCACCAAGAGTGCAAGGCCCAGAATTTAATCCCTAACACACACACACACACACACACACACACACACACACACACACGGCCAGAAATTCATTGGCGAGACAGGAAAGGATACACATATCATCAATAAAAATAAGTAAATAAAAAGTTGATCCTTTGAATATGAGGTAATAATGTGAAGGAGCTGGGATGAGGGCTATTTATGAGAAGAATGGGAAGATTTCAGGTGATAGTTTTCTGGAAGTCAATTTGGAAGCTCAACTAACAAATGCAACCTCAAAAGACAAAAGAAAAAGACACAGAAAGGCCAGAAAAAGACAGAAAGGCAGGCAGGAAGCTAGGCCAGAGGAAGGGCAGGGAAGATCAGCTGATGGCAGGTATGTGAAGTCAGGCTGTGGGTAAGCTGGAAAGAAGGCTTCCAGGTTAGGTCCAAACTAGCTTGTTTGTACCTCCATCTAGTAACAGATAGAGGTGATTCAGGGTTACGAGGGTCTATAGCCCTTCAAGGAGTATTCACAGAAAAACCTACAAAAGAAATGTCTCACTGGATTACGTAATGAAATTGTAAGTCTCAGAAGATATGATGTTGGATTTTCAAGTCTTTCCTTTGATTCTGACAAATAAACACAGAGCTGATTAAAAAAAAAAATGTCTCAGGGTGGGAAGGTGGCTCAGTGGTAGAGTGCTTGCCTTGCATGCATGAGGCCCTGGGTTCAATTCCTCAGCACCACATAGGCAGAAAAAGCCGGAAGTGGCACTGTGGCTCAAGTGGTAGAGCGCTAGCCTTGAGCTGAAGAGCTGAGGGACAGCGCCCAGGCCCAGAGTTGAGGCCTCGTGACCGACAAAAAGAAAGAAAGGAAAGACAAAGAAGGAAAGAAAGGAAGGAAAGAAGGAAGGAAGGAAGGAGAGAAGGAAGGAAGGAAGGAGGGAAGGAAGGAAGGAAGAAGAGAAGGAGAGAAGAAGAGGAGAGGAGAAAAGAAATAAATGTCTCAAGCTGGGCTCCTGTGGATCATGCCTGTAATCCTAGCTACTGAGGAAACAGAGACCTGAGTATCATGGTTCAAAGACTGCCCAGGCAGAAAAGTCTATGAGACTCTCATTTCCTATTAACCAGCAAAAAGCAGGAAATGGAGGTGCGGCTCAAGGGGTAAAGTACTAGTCTTGAATAGAAAAGCCAAGCAAGAGCTCAAGGTCCTAAGTTCAAGCCCTAGTACTAGCACACACACACACACACACACACACACACACACACACACACACACACAAATCCTTTTAGGTTCCACCTAGCAGATTAAGCAGCCTTAGAAACAGATTAAGCAGCCTATTAGAAAGTCAATGGCTGAGAAAAAATTCCAACCCAGAAATCTGACTCTGTTCTTAGTACTCTCTGTCTTACATTGGATACTTGCCTCGACATATTTATATATCTTTTTGTTTTGTTTTGTTTTTTGGTCCGGTTGTGGGGCCTGAACTCTGGGCCTGAGCACTGTCCCTCAGCTCTTCAGCTCAAGGCTAGTGCCCTACCACTTGAGCCACAGCACCACTTCCGGCTTTTTTCTTTTTGCTTATGTGGTGCTGAGGAATCGAACCCAGGGCCTCTGGCATGCAAGGCAAGCACTCTACCACTGAGCCACCTTCCCAGCCCCAATATTTATATATCTTAATGACAGGAAAGTGCTTTGTGATAGCATAAGGAATCTCTTTGTGCTTGTTTTGGGAAACTATCAAGTGTTCTTGGTCTGATTTCAGACCAGCACATTAGAATGGTAGAAGTAGATCCATATGCAGACCATCAAAAAGTAATTGTGGTCAGAGAAGAATACAAGATAGCCATTTATTATTCTTTCTGTTATAATTGAGCACTTACTATGTGCTAGGCACATGCATTGTGTGTGTGTGTGTGTGTGTGTGTGTGTGCCAGTGTGTGTGTGCCAGTGCCAATGCCAATACTAGGACTTAAATTCAGTGCCTCATGCTGTCCCTTAGCTTTGTACCCAAGATTGGAGCTCTACCACTTGAGCCACACCTCCACTTCTGGCTCTTTGCTAGTTACTTAGAGAAGAGTCCTAGAGATTTATCTGCCTGGGCTAGCTTTGAACCACAGTCGTTACTTGACAGCCTCCTAAGTATTTAGGATTGCAGGCATGAGCCACCAGGGCCTGGCCTCCAGCTAATTCTTAGTGTTGCAGCAACAGTAGCCAATAAGGAGCCCCCTGCTCTCAGGGAGTTCATATCCTAGTGAGAAGACCAACAGTAGCATATTGGGTACCTACCAGATGATAGGTAGTGACCATAGCCATCAAGGAAATGAACACAGAGTGACAGGACAGGAAGAAAAGGCATCCTTTCCTAAGTTCAGTGTCTCTGAAGAGGTGGCCTTTGAACAGAGGATCCAAATAAAGTTAAGGAGCCAGCTACAAGAATATCTGGGAAAAGAAACGTTGGAAAAATAGATATATCTTGAACTGTAACCATTGACAGGAATGAAAAACCCTCCTATACCCATCTGTAGCTTTCAATCCAAAACAGGAAAGAAAATACAAGACAACAGAAAAGCAGAGAAAAAAGAGGAAAGCAAGAAACAAATAAAATGAAAAAATGTAAAGCAGTCCAGGCAGGCATAGTAGTACATACGTGGAGTCCCAGTATTTGGTAGGCTGAGACAGGAAGACGATGAATGTAGCCCAGCCTGAGCTACTTAGAAAGAGCTGGCCTCAAAAAGAAAAAAAGTTATCTATACAAACAATACAAAATGGTATTGTTGGAGTAGTTCTAAATACATTATAAATTTCAATAAAACATAAACTTGGTTAATAAAAATAACGGGTCATCAGATTTTTTTTGAGGAGGGGCGTCAGTCATGGGGCTTGAACTCTGGGCTTGGGCTCTGTCCCTCAGTTCTTCAGCTTAAGGCAAGCGCTCTACCACTGAGCTACAGCGCCACCTCTGGCTTTCTGGTGGCTTATTGGAGATTAGAGTCTCACGGACTTTTCTGCCCAGGCTGGCTTTGAACCGTGATCCTCAGATCTCAGCCTCCTGAGTACCTAGGATTACAGGCATGAGCCACCATCTATCAGGCTTTTTTTTTTTTTAAGGATCAAAGTCCACCTTTTCCTGTCCATGGGGTGTCAAAGAGTAGTGCCATTCAGGTCACTTACTGTCTGGTGCAAATATGAAAAGTTAAATGTCCAAGTTTTGAAAATGTGACTTTTGATTCTGTTTGCTTTCTTCTTATGTAGCCCTCCTGGGGCCTCCTGGAATCCATATAGAAGCCATTGCAGATTCTTTACACATACATTTCTCAGCCCCCCAAGTTGACAATGAACCTGGACCATGGACCATAAAGGACTTTTATCCCTCATTGGCTTACAAGGTGCAATACTGGAAAAATGCAAGTGAGGAGAAGGTGAGTTTGGGGTGATCACATGCATTTCCAACGTAGGCACCCATGTTTTTTGTGTGGTTGTTTCTGGGTTTTGTTGTTGTTAGCTTTGTGTGTGTGTGTGTGCGTGTGTGCGTGTGTGCGCGAGCGCTCGCACATGTATCAGTACTATGGCTTGAGGTCAGGGCTTTACATTCTTGCTTAGCTTTTTCACTCAGAGCTGCAGCTCTACCACTTAAGCCACCACACCTCCTCTAACCACTTCGAGCTTTTTGCTGGTTAAATAGAGATGAAAGTCTCACAGATTCTTCCCAGGCTGACTTTGGGCCATAATTCTTGGATCTCAGCCTCCTGAGTAACTAGGATCACATCATGAGCCACTAAGCTCTCTTGCTCAGTTTTGATAGGGCAGGATGAGAGAGAAGTCCAGAGTCCATCCAGGTAGAGGATTCCTCAGTGCAGCACATGTGGTCCAGAGGGGCCTCGGGCCTGGTCCCGTCAAAGCCCGAAGCTTCCCAGAGGATGACTGGGCTCAGGGTCTCAGACCCCCATGGCAAACGCATGGAACAGACCTCGAGGGTGTGCTTGGGAACTGCCCTTGTCACAGAAGAGAAGCTGCGGGAGAAGCAGGGCTGAGTCAGCAGCGGGCCAGAGGAAGTTGGAGTCAGCTGAATCAGGTGATCTGAATGACTTCTGTTTTGTGGCATCAACCCCATAATAAGCAGTGCAGAGAAGCCAAACCCATTGTGGCCCCACCCCCCCCCCCCCCCCCCCCCCTCCCGCAGGCGATTACTCGACCAGCCCCACCCCCGCCCACCCCCGCCCAAGTGTCACCTCTTACCCCACTTCCCCTGCTGCTCTCTTCGTGTGTGTGTGTGTGTGTGTGTGTATACGCACATGTGAATGTGTGACAAGACACTAAGCTTTTTTTTTTTTTAATTCATGGCGAGTGCTCTACCAGTGAGCTACAGCTCCACTTCCTGCTTTTTTGCTAGTTAACTGGAAATAAGTGTCTCACAGACTTTCCTGCCCAAGCTGGCTTTGAACTGCAATCCTCAGAGCTCAGCTTTCAGAGTAGCTAGCATTACAGATGAGACCCACCGGCATCCAGATGCATTTCCTTACTCTTAACAAGATATACTTAAAATCTCTTTTTTCTAGGTTGGTTGGTTGTTGGTCTTGCCAATCCCAGAGCTTGAACTCAGGGCCTGAGCACTGTTCTTAAGCTTCTTTTAGTCAAGGCTAGCACTGTACCACTTAAGCCATAATGCCACTTTGGGCTTTTTCTGTATATGTGATACTGAGGAATCGAACCCGGGACTTCATGCATGCTAGGCAAGCACTCTACCACTAAGACATTCTCAGCCCCTGCTGCTCTCTTCTTGAGAGCTTGTTTGGAGGTTCTAGCAGGGGAGCGCAGCTACTCGTATACCCGTGACCGAAGACCGGTCCTCCTCTATCGGGGATGGTCAGCTTCGGGAGGGACGCACATGGAGCGGCGAGGGAGGACGGGGACGCCGCCTAGCCAGCCACATCAGCCGAGTCAACCCTGGCGATCAGTGGGGTGACAGATGTCGCAGCCAGATCGCCCTCACATCCCCTGCTGCTCTCTTCTAAAGGGACCACTTCTTGTGAAAGGATTGACTTGGAACCAAAATACCTCGCTGTGGCATTGCTCCTGTCACCACGTGGCTCTTGTCACATACATTTGTTTGTTTGTTTGGGTGGGGTCCCTTACAGGGCCTCTTGTTCTCACTCAGCTTTTACCACTCAAGGTTGAGCCTCACCTCCACTACTGCTCTTTGCTGGTTAATTGGAGAAAATAGTCTCACAGACCTTTCTACCTGTGCTAGCTTTGAACTGCCGTCCTCAGCTCTCAGGCTTCTGTGTACCGAGGATTACAGTCGTGAGCCGCCAGTGCCCAGCTTCTCTGTGCTTCTAACATGAAGGCATATTGCTGCATCCTTAGACTAAGATGAGGGGCAAATGGGTGAACTGCTCCCTCACACCTCTTTGTTTTGTTTTGTTTTGTTTTGTTTTTGTGGGTCGTGGGGCCTGAACTCTGGGCCTGGGCGCTGTCCCTCAGCTCTTCAGCTCAAGGCGAGTGCTCAACCACTTGAGCTACAGCGCCACTTCCACACCTCTTTGTTTTGTATTTTTTTGAAACTGTTATTGTACTGTTATTATTAAGTTGTTTTACAGAGGGGTTACCATTTCATAAGTACATGTCTTTTTTGGACAATGTCACCTCTTCCTTCACTTGCCCCATCTCCCCCTCCCCCCATCCCTGCCCACAAGTCGCATAGTTCCTTTTCCACATCATGTCTCTGAGCACCATGATTGCATTTGTTCACCTTTTCTCCCTCCCTTTCTGCATCCTCGCTTCGCTCCTCCCCCCACAAAAAAAAAGACTTAAAAAAAAAGCTAAAACAAACAGCAGCTCGTCCCTCTCACCTCGTTAGACAGCCACTAGTCCAGTTCATTAGGGGTCTGAGTCATGGCCTCTTCAATACTCTTGCATTGGTGATTCGATTTCAACGAAGGAATTTGGAGGACACACATTTAAACCATAGCAGACAGAAACTCTTCACACAAGACAATTTTGCCTATAGCCAAGGCCCCAGGAAATGTGTCCCTGAAAAGCAATCCACAGTATCTAGTTTCCTAACTACCCCTTAAATCCAGGTGTCTCGGCTAAGTCCTGGATCCAGAGATAAAACCCAGCTGCTACCCCCAGTGAGAAATGTCACCCTCTAATTAAAGATCCAATGCCATAACCACCTTGGCCGAGTGCCTCCTACCAAGCATCAAAAGCAAACCCTGGTTTATATTAAGCTTCTTAATATTTAGCTTCTTATCTAGAACACCCCCACAGCAAAGGAATCTGGTAACGTGCATTGCTTCTCTCACACTGCCCCACTGTGTGGAGGCCTCTGAGTTCCTGAAAAGGCCACTTGCTCATATTTACTGAACCAGAATGGAAATACCTGTGCAAGACTAGTTCCTTAAACAATACATGAAGAATCTGTGGGAGTGGCATTTCTTGTGTTTTTTTTTTCTCTTTCCTTCCTTCCTCCCTCCCTCCCTCCTTCCCTTCCTTCCTTTCTTCTATCCTCCTTTCCTTTCCTTCTTTTCCTTCATTCGTTTGTTCCTTCCTTTTTGTGCCAATACTGGAACTGTCGGGCCTTTGTGCTCTTTTGGCTTTTTTTTTTTGTCGGTCGTGGGGCTTGAACTCTGGGCCTGGGCGCTGTCCCTCAGCTCTTCAGCTCAAGGCTAGCGCTCTACCACTTGAGCTACAGCGCCACTTCCGGTTTTTTGGTGGTTTATTGGAGATAGGAGTCTCACCGTCTTTCCTGCCCGGGCTGGCTTTGAACCGCGATCCTCAGATCTCAGTCTCCTGAGTAGCTAGGATTACAGGCATGAGCCACCAGCGCCCGGCCTCTTTTGGCTTTTTGGCTCAAGGCTGAAGCTCTACACTTGAGCCACATCTCCACTTCTGGCTTTTTGCTTCTTAATTGGAAATGAGTCTCACAGACATTTCTGCCCAATCAGGTTTGAACTGAGAGTCTCAGATTTCAGCTTCCTGAGTAGCTAAGATTACAAACCTCCAACACCCTGCTGAGATTAACTTCTCATCTAGTGAAGAAATCCTAGCAAGTTGCCCACGCCGTCAGCTCTAAAGATAAGCAACTAATTATGAAAGTATTGTGTTTTTTAAAAGCCTGCACCTACTTTGTAAGCTCTTTCACTTCCCTGTGTTACCAGGAACTATTTACATTTCTCAAATTCAGAACTGTCTCACTAATTATATTATCTTCGGTTTAAATTCAACCGAGATGACTTGGCCACTCTAGCCACCAGATCAGAGGCATACCCCAGGAACAGGACCGCCGAGGTTGGGGGACAATCTAGTCCCCCAAGCAGCCAGAATCTATATATTTCATACAGAAAACAAAATCACAGCATTTTATTGTATTGCATGGCCACTGTTGGTTGGGAAGACTGCTCTAACAAACTATCACCCTTGGGTCAACAACAGAAATGTGTCGTCTAACTTTCCTTGGGCCTGATTATCCAAGGTAAGGGTGTCAGAAGGGCTCTGCTCCCTCTGTGCTCCATGCCTTTGCTCCAGGGCTGGCTTGCCCAGAACCTGGGCATTTATAAAGCATTGCCCAACTCTGCCCTTCGCTTACCAAGGCATCCTTCTTGAGGGTCAAAACTTCCTGTAAACACACCACCATGCTGGCTTAGGGACCTACCCTCAAGACTCCATCTTTCTTGCCTTTGTAAAGATCCTGTCTCCAAAGCTAGGCACAGGTGGCTCATGCCAGGAAGCTGAGCTCTGAGAACCATGGTTTGAAAAGCTAGTCTGAGCAGTGAAGTCGGTGAGACTTATCTTCAATTAACCAGCTAAAGCCAGAGTGGAGCTGTGGCTCAAGTGGCAGAGGGTCAGCCTTGAGGGAAAAGGTAAGAGACAGTAAATATCCAGGCCCTGAATTCAAGCCCCAGGACCCACACCAAAAAAAAAAAAGACTACCTCCACATAAGGTCATGTGTTACGGGTATCTGGTGTTTAGACTTCAACATACAGTTTTTTTGTGTGTATGCCAATCCTGGGTCTTGAACTCTTGCTGTCCCTGAGCTTCTGTGTTCAAGATTAGTGCTCTGTGACTTGAACCACAGCTTTACTTCGAGCTTTTTAGTGGTTAATTGGAGATCAGATTTTTTTGGATTGGCTTCTATGATCCTCAGATCTCAGCCTCCTGAATAGCTAGGATTATAGGCATGAGGTGGCTCATCATTTGATTTTTTTATGAGATACAATGCAATACATTAAAACTGGCTTATCTTTTTATCGGTGGTATTGCAGGTTGAACTCAGGGACTTGTACTTGCTAGGTAGGCTCTCTACCTCTTGAATCATGCATGCCCTCAGCCCTTTCTGCCTAACTTTTTGTTTTAAATACATAAATGCTGGATCTGGCCTAGATAGCATCTGCCTCTTTAAGCTGCCCACATACCTAGCATGATAGGTGCATGGCACTGCATGCTGCAGCTGGGTGAGGTTGGGGGGGGGCGTCCCTCACATTTACGTCCAGACTAGCCTGGGACCTCCGTCCTCCCAATTCTCACCTTCTAAGTTGCTTGGATTACAGTGGTGAGCCACTGACACCTGGGTTAAGACTAGTCTTTTTGTTTTTGTTTTAAGGCAAGTATGAGGTTTGTATATATCAGTAAAGCTTCAGAATTCAGGCATTGGTTGCCAGTGTGGCGGTCAGTCTTGCTGTTATCCCTGCAGTGGCGTCAGGATCTGAAATGAGCAGGGAGAGTAGCTGCCCTTGCCTGTTTTGAGCCTGAAGCAGGAACTGGTAATCATGAAAAAAAGGGAAATCAAAGAAACTGGGGAGCCAATAGTTCATACCTGTAATCTAGTCACCTGGGAGTCTGGGAATGGGAGGATCTTGAGTTGAGGCCAAGCCTGAGCAGAAAAGTTCCTAAAACACTTTCTAAGCCTATAGCTAGATACAGTGGTACACATTTGTCCATCCAAGCTGCCTGGGGGGCTGACACTGGGAAAATGGACATTCCAGGCCAGCTCAAGCAAAATAAAAAATAAAATCTGCTAGATTCCTTTTCCACAGAAGAACATGGCAGGGTGGTGTGCACCTAAGATCCTAGCAACCGTGGGAAGCATAGACTAAGTGGGTTATGCCTCCGGTGTGCACCCTGGCAGGAGGTAAGATCCTACCCTAAAAAGAACCAAGAAAAACAGGGCTGAAGCAGCAGTATAGTGCCAGCCTTGCAAGCAAGCACAGGTCCTGAGTTCAAGCCCTCAAGACCAAAAAATGAGGGGAAAAAAGTGAGGACTCTTCAGTGTTGTTATTGTGTTCTTTTCCATGTCCAACCAGATGCAAGTTACTTTTACACATGACTTCGAGGTCCTCAGAAACCTGGAGCCCCGGACAACTTACTGCATTCAAGTTCAAGGATTTGTTCCCAATAGAAACAAAACGGGGCTGTGGAGTGAGCCAGTCTGTAAGCAAACAGAGCACGGTAAGTGACATTCAGCTTGGAACAGACCCCACTGAGGGGCTCCTAGACATCCAGGGCCTGGCGACAAACTCCAGCCCAGCTTAGGAATGGGCAGTCCCACCCCTAAATGGTGTCCAGCTCTGATTGGTCAGCTGCATGTCAGAGGAGCTGCCCCCTTCTGTGGCAGCTCCTTTGCTCTCTATGAGTCTGAAAGGAATTGTTGGCTATCCATTGATTCATTCCACTTGTGCTTTCTCAGCTCCCTGAAGCTAGGCACACGGGGCCTCCTGGTACTATCCAGCAGAGCTTAAGCCCTCCCACACCCCCATCATCCTCCCCAAATTCACTTTCCTTCTTGGGTGCACATGTCCAGGCTTTGTTTTTGTTTTTTGTAAGTTTTTGGTTGTAGGTTGGGTTTTTTTGTGTGTGTAGAGTTACTGGGACTTGAACTCAGGGCCTGAGTACCGTCCTTTGCTTTCCTTTGCCTTTTATGCCTACAGCTGGTGCTCTACCACTTGAGCCACGCCTCCCCTTCTGGCTTTTTTTTGGGGGGGGTTCATTGGAGGTAAGTGTCTCCTGGACTTTCCTACCTGTGCTAGGTTCAAACCAGTATCCTCCAGATCTCAGCCTCCTGAGTAGCTGGGATTATAGGTGAGCCACTGCTGCTCACATCCTCAGTGCTTTCTTAAGGGTCCCTCAGGACTCTGACTCATGTCTTAGTATTATCCTGCTAAAACATTAGTTGGAAGGATGGGTAAGAGTCTGGAACTTTCTCAACAGCTGAAATGTCAGCAGCCCGGGGGCTGCTCCAGCCAGCTTACCGCAGGATCCCACATTGACCAAGAAAACACAAGGTAGCTGAGTTCTCCTACATGCAGGCTGTGCCGCAGAGGAGAGCAGCCCAGTTTCTCTCACTGAAGTGAGTCCTGGGGGAGCGGGGGAGAGTTCTCACATGGCAGGACCCAGGCTTGGACATCAGAAGATCTCACAGCAGAAATGCAACAAGTGGCTGGGGGAGGGGGGAGGGGGGTGGCAGGCAGAAGATGCAGCAGGTCCATACGGACATGCCCCCCAGCCAGCCCTCTCTCTAGGGTGTAAGGCTCCCCCCCCCAGCCAGCCCTCTCTCTCTGGTGTAAGGAGGGTCCCGTGAGCCACACACTGGCGAGCGCCTGCACTCAGTGGACTTCCAGGAGGAGCTCAGCACTCAGTTCCAGTATTGTTTAGCGTCCTTCAGTCAGAGGCAGCCAAGGGACAGTTGCTGTTTGCCCCATAAATAGTCCCTTTCAGATGAGACCCAGGCTGTGTTCTCTGGCCCCCAACTGGCACCAGATGCGCAGACCTTGCTCATGAGGTGACAGACACTGGCCTTGGTAGGACAAGTGGCCAGGACTGCTGGAGAAGCAGCCTGGTGCTAAAGAAAGAGCTGAGCCACAAATGGCCACAGTCAACTCTGTAGTAGAATTAAAGCAAGTGAAAATACTTGATCCAGGGCTGGGAAGGTAGCTTATGGTAGAGTGCTTGCCTTGCATGCATGAGGTCCTGGGTTCGAATCCTCAGCACCACATAAGCAGAAAAAGCCAGAAGTGGCGCTGTGGCTCAAGTGGTAGAGCGCTAGCCTTGAGCTGAAGAGCTGAGGGACAGTGCCCCACGACTGACCCCCCCACCAAAAAAAAGCCAGAATTCTTCAGTAGTAGAGGACCAGCCCTGGGTGGAGTAAGATAAGGGAGAATGCCTTGGTCCTGTGTTCAGGCCCCAGTACCAACACACACACACACACCACACACACACTCAGTAATAATTGCATTAGGAGCCATTGAGTTCCATTTATGCACAGAAACAGACTAGATTTTTTTTTTGACAGTGCTGTGGTTTTGACCTCAGGGCCCTGCATTTGCTAGACAGATGCTTTACCACTTACACCATATGCTTCACCTCCCTTTTTATCTTTTGAGTAAGGTCTTGCATTTCTGTCCAGGTCAGCCTGGCCTGTGATCCTCCCATTTATACCACCACGTAGCTGAGATGACAACGCTCACTGCTGTGTCCAGATTTCTATTGGTTAAGGGGTTCTTTGTCCAGGCTAGCCTCTAACCTCAGTCTTCCTGATCCCTGCCTCTGCCAGCGCATGACTGGGTAGCTTAAAGGAAGACTGACTGTGAGGAAGTCAGGAGGGACAGCAAGCCGGTCAGGGAAGTGAAAAAGTGACAAATTTCAGGTAACTATCATTGCCATTAGACCACGTGAATCTGCCACCTGGTGTGTATCAGTCAGGCACGTCTAGTCTCCCAGATCATTCACTGCACTTTTTTTTTTTTTTGAAGTCCTGGGGCTTAAACTCAGGGCCTGGATGCTGTCTCTGAGCCTCTTTGTGCTCAAGGCTAGCACGCTACCACTTGAGTCACAGCTCCACTTTTGGCTTTTTCTGAGTAGTTTATTGGAGATAGGAGTCTCACTGACTTTTCTGCCCAGGCTAACTTCAGACTGTCATCCTCAGATCTCAGCCTCCTGAGTAGCTAGGATTACAGGCGTAATTCACTGGCACCCAGGTTCACCGTACTTCTCAGCAGTTTCAAAAGAATGGCCCCCAAGTCCTGAGGAAGACACCCCTGGCTTGCAGGAGACATGTGTATCAGAGACAGGAAGGATCCACTTTTGGAAGGCCCCCACCCCCTGCTTTTTTTTGTCGGTCATGGGGCCTGAACTCTAGGCCTGGGCGCTGTCCCTCAGCGCTTCAGCTCAAGGCTAGCACTCTACCACTTGAGCCACAGCACCACTTCTGGCTTTTTCTGCTTATGTGGTGCTGAGGAATTGAACCCAGGGCCTCATACATGCAAAGCAAGCACCTTCCCAGCCCCTGGAAACTCTTTTTAGAAAAAAAAAAAAAACTTAGAGAATTTGGGCAGCTGGACCCCGTCTCAGGCTGCTAAAGGCCAACAGATGCTTAGTCACGCCACTTGGCACTGGGATTTGTTTGGAGTCATCTGTCATGAGTTCTGTGTGACTTTTACTTGTTACCACTAAACTCTAGTGTCTGCATTTCCCTTGGGCTGTTTACCAACTCTGGTGCAAAAGTTCACCCAGAGCAGGCTGGCACAGTGTTACCCTGAAAGTAGGTGACATGCACCAGGATTTGAGTGCGTGGATATGTGTGTGTGTGTCTGTCTGTCTGTCTGTTTGTCTGTCTGTCTGTGTGCATGAACATATATTAGGGCTTGAACTTAGGGCCTAGGCACTGTCTCTTAGCTTTTTTGCTCAAGCTAGCACTCTACCACTTAAGCCACAGCTTCACATCTGGCTTTTTGGTAGTCAGTGAGTGATTCATGTCTTTCCTAGGCTGGTCATAATCTTCAGAGCTGAGCCTCCTGGGCAGCCAGAATTACAGGCCTGAAGCACGGTAGCCAGCTTAGAATTCTTATCCTTTCATTCACTGTGAAACAGCCACTGTGTCAGAGGGCAGACTGAAGCAATAAGAAAGGAATGAAACTCACTAAGAAACCCTGCGTCCTCCTGACAGCTGTATTCATGGGACACTGTTGGGAATGAACTGTTTGGGAGTTTGGTTTCCAGAGATTACCATCAAATTGTGATGAGTACAATGGCTGTAAGATCTCTGTGACCCAAGCTGTAGAGAATCTCACCCAGTCCAATCTCCCCACAGAAACTCCACCCTGGTTAGTGGCCATCATCCTCATGGTGTCTGTCTCCGCGGGCTTCCTGGTGCTCACCGGCTGCTTTGCTTTGCTATGGTGCATTTACAAGAAAACGAAGTACACCTTCTCCCCTGGGAACACTCTTCCGCAGCACCTGAAAGAGGTAAGGGGGATGCAACAAGATGTGGATTCCAAAACGCCTGATGTTCCTGAAAACTCAAGGCTGCCTAGTTCTAGACAATAGGTTTTCCAGGAAAATATTAACTCACGTCTCACACATTCCCATGTGTATATTTTTAAAGGCTAGAGTCAGCCCTAAAGAAAGGAGACAAAGGTTTGTTCCAAAAGCCTTTCCTGAATCTGGACAGCTCCTTCCTTCTCTGGTCTCTGCCCAAAGCCTCACGTGTTTGGGGAGCAGAGGTGATGGATCTGGGGCGGGAAGGTACACAGCAACAGCCCTCAGGGTGGAGATGTAAGAAAGAACCAGCTAGCCAGTGCCACCACAGAGCAGGAGAGAGAGAGTGGGAGGAAGAAAGGCATGCTCGTTTAGGAATATCGGACTGAGAAACCCAGATCCTGGAGTGTACCTTAGCTTAAGGGATGCTATTTCTAAAGATTTAGAAAGAAGGGCTGGGATGTAGCTCAGTGGCAAAGCGCTTGCCTAGCAAGTGCAACGTCCTGGGTTCGATCCCCAGTACCAAGAAAAAAAAAAGAAAAAGACAAGATTTAGAAAGAACTGCCAGGCACCAGTGGCTCACATCTGTAATCCTACCTACTCTGGAGGCTGAGAACTGAGGATCATGGTTCAAAGCTAGCCCAGGCAGGAAAATTTATGAGACTTTCATCTCCAATTAACCACCAGAAACTTGGAAGTGGCCCTGTGGCTCAAAGTGGTAGAGCACTAGCCTTGGGCAAAAGAGCTCAGGGACAGCACCCAGGCCTTGAGTTCAAGCTCTACAACCAACAACAACAAAAAAGAACAAAGAATGAAGCTAGCTAAAGATCAGGACTGAAGAGGCCCTGAGAAATGAAATTCTAAATATAAAGTGGTCTCTTGAGTTATGCGTCTGTGCCTTCAAATGAATGCAGATCAATGTATTTAATTTTTTCTTTTTTTTTAATTTTTATTTTTTGTGAACATACTGTACAGAGGGGTTACAATTACATGGGCAGGATAATGCGTACATTTCTTATCAAGCATTGCAGCCTCCTCCTTTGTTTACCCTTCACATCCCTTCCCAGCCTCCCCCCGCCCCCCCACCCAACCCCCCCCCGAATTTTTTTCTTCTGTGCTGAACTTGGAAACTTTTTTCACTATTCCCTACTCAAAATAGTCTTAACTACTATTTACATAGAATTTATATTGGATTGGATGGTATAGGTAATCTAGATAATTCAAAGTATTTAGCTGGAGGTACATTAGTTGTATGCAATTCTTTTCTTTAGCAGTATTAGGGATTGAACTCAGAGCCTCAAGCTTGCTAGGCATTTAATTTGAGCCACAGCCCTTTTGGGTTTTTTCTTCTTTAGGGGAGTAGTAGAGGTGGGGGAGGGGTGCTGTACTGAGGTACTGGGTGCTATCACTTAGCCTTTTCTACTCAAGGGTAGCACTCGATGACTTGAGCCACAGCTCCCATTTCCGGCTTTCTAGTGTTTCATTGGAGATGAGGGTCTCAGTGACTTTCCTGACTAGGCTGGCTTACATCTCAGCCTCCTGAATAGCTGGATGATAGTCATGAGCCACTGGCCCCCAGCTGGCATCTTACTTTCTGAGAAGTCAGGGGTTAGAAACCGACATGTGAATTGAGTAGCTGCCCCGTCCAAGCTACCGTTGTTGCCATTAGAGCCTCTGTCAGGCCTCCATGTGCTGGCTGAAGCCCTGCAGAACTCCAGTTACAGATTATTCCTGACGTAAATGCCAGCCTAGCCAGGAGGCGTCACTGTCCCTCCCAGAGTGCAAGTGTCCCTCCCATGTCGTCACCCGCTCCCAGGTGGCTAGTTGGTTTACCCTAGAAGTGCCATCACATCGGTGGGCTCGGCAGTGATCCGTGTCACAGAGGCTGGACATTCGGCAGGGGCTGGAGTGTGTCTGCCCAAGGGAGTGGAAGCCCCTGCTCTTAGGCCAGAGCAAAGCCGTCCATGAGCCTCTTGTGGCTGCACACAGAAGCCAGTGGGTGTGCATTGCTGCAGCCTCTCTGCTTGCTTGTGTCCTTTCTGTGCTGCACATTGTCAGTTGGACTTCCTGTGCACTCCAGAAGTCTACACACTTGAAGCTGGCGCCCTTCCCTCTACATGCCCTGCACAGGGCTCTTGGTCCCCACCTTCCAAGCTCTCCTTCTGCTACACCCACCCAGCAGCTCTGAGCCAGCTGAGCTCTGCCTGTGTTTGCAGAGCTGTGATCCGCACTTGACAGATGTGAGCCACCCTGGGAAGAACACAAGGTCTCACCCTGCTGTGGGAGGCATTTCCTGCAAAGCTGTGAGCTTGTAACACCAGTGTTCTAGAGGGCATTTGGGTAGCCCAGGCAGCACCCACTACAGAAAAGAAAAGTGGTAGTTGGGACCATAGGCAAGTATTTCAGGACAGCTGGAACTTGCCAAGAGCACCAGGGAACCCCGAAGAATCAGTGGAGTATCCTGTGGAGGGGTGCTGACGCAAGCCACAGCTGGAGGAAGAACAAAGGGAGGCCCTTGGCTCTGGGTGGGTGGTGTTCTGTTAACTGAGAACCCAGAGGAAACTTCAGTTATGCACCTGCTATTTTTGGCTGCTTGGCTTCCTCATCAAAGAAACTGACCAGACAGGGAAGAATACATGGCAAATCAAAGCCAGAACAAGTTTAGTAAAGGGGCCAGCTGGACTGAGCTCTTTCCTCCAAGGCTAGCAAGCTGTCTCTCTCTCTCTCTCTCTCTTTCCCCCTCTCCCTCCCTCCCTCTCTCTCTCTCTCTGTCTGTATGTGTGGGTATAATTTTTATTTTTTGGCATGGGGATGCAGAACTGGGATTGAATTGAGAGTTTTGCATGCAGTAGGACAGTGCTCTGCCACTTGAGCCACGCACTTATTCTTTTTTTTTTTTTTAGGAAAACAGCAAAAAATGACTTCTTAGCACAGCAGAGTTACACCCCAAGGTGTGAGGTGGGCAGTTTAGTTAAAGACCAGTTGTATCAAGCTGCCCGAGTTTGGGGTTTTCTTATCCCAAATGGGTGAGGTTACTAGGTAGAACAAAATTAAGGCCCTCCCTTTGTGGTTCTCCCAAAAACTGGTTTGATGGCTTTGTAATGGCTGCCCAGCTAAGGACATCAGACACCTGCCCTTTCTGAGAGGATGAAGGCCCGGTGCCTGGACTTTTGACCCTCTTTGCTTGACCCAGTTTACACTACCAGTGGAAGTTAGACGCATCATTACTCCCCCAGGAGTTCCCAGTATTGATGTGGGGCTTGGAATCCATCAGGATGGACGGAGAGAGGCCATTATTATTTGTGTGTGCATACCATTAGTTATTACGCTATATTAAGAAGATGGTGAATTTGTCTAACTTGTCTTATGGTTCTGTCAGTTTTTATATACTCTGAAACTTTGTTGCTATGCATATTTGTTTGTTTATATGTGAGTACTGGGCTTGAACTTGGCTTTATGTACTAGCTTGCCTTTTTTGTTCAGGGCTGGTGCTCTACTACTTGAGCCACACCTCCATTCCCAGCTTTATTTTTTTGTTCCAGTCCTTGGGCTTGAACTCAGAACCTAGGTGCTGTCCCTGAGCTTTTTGCTCAAGGCTAACACTCTACCACTTGAGCCACAGCTCCACTTCTGGCTTTTTGGTAGTTCATTGGACATAAGAGTCTCACAAACTTTCCTGCCTGAACTGGCTTCAAACCCTGATTCCCAGATCTCAGCCTCCTGAGTGGCTAGGATTACAGCACCCAGCTTATTTACAAGAATTCCATACAGAACTTCTCAAAAGAATTCGGGGTCCTGAACTTGTGAGAGGGGGGTGTTAGTGTAGGCAGATGGGGTCACCATGAGCAAAGTAGAAGAAATGCCCTGACGACAAGATTCCAGTCTAAGACCCCTGATAGCCCAAATAGCAGACCAATAATTAAGATGATGGCCCTAGCCGGGCGTGACAAATTAACATTAACATTAAATACTTGTAAGACCCAGAAAAAGAAATAGAACACTTTGATAATTAACTGTCCTTTCTTTTTTCTGCCACAGTTTTTGGGCCACCCTCATCACAGCACACGTCTGTTTTTCTCCTTTCCACTCTCTGATGAGAATGAAGTTTTCGACAAACTAAGTATCATTACAGAAGACTCGGAAAGCAGCAAGCAGAATCCTGGCGGCGGTGACAACCCGAGAACCCCGTCTGGGCCAGGACCTCCAGAGACAGTTTCCAAGGAAGAAACACTCTCAGCCAGTCTGGAAGATCCCACACCTCTCACATCGGCCCCAGAGGTGTGATCAGAGAGAGCTACTACCTGAGCAAACTCCACTTCTATACATCTTAGGCTCGGGATTCGTTCACACAACCAAACAGCTAGTTTGAATGGCTCAAGCGACAGAAATGCTCTCATCTTGGGAACTCATTGCTTTATGAAGACTGATTTTTTTTTAATGGCCACTGAAAAACCATCTCTTATATTTATTAAACTATGAATTGCATCTTAAATGTGAGGAATATTTTAAATGAGAACTAAGTGGGGTGTCAGCTGTGGACCTGGAAAACACCTCACCTTGAACGTGGTCATCACCACACTGGACAGAGCCAGACTTGTGGGATTCTCAGTGAGGCGTTGAAAGGATTTCTTTGTCTGTCTGTGTGTATTTGCTGGACTGTCAGTGCTGTCTGAGATCTCTCCTCTCTCTCAGTTTGTCAGCTTTCTGTTGTTGCAACAAGATACCTGATATAAACAACTTCACAGGAGGAAAGGTTTGTTTGGCTCATGAGCTCAGAGGTTTCAGTCTGTGGTCCCTTGGCTTTGGGGTTTGGCAGCGCACTACATCACCTCAACCTCATGGTGTCCAAGAAGAGAGGGAGTGGGGAGGGCTTGAGATCCAATATCCACTTCAATATCATCCTCCAATGAGCTAACTTCCACTCCTTTTTCTTTTTTTTTTTAATTAACTAGTAGGCAGTCTTTACTCATTGTCAGGGTGATGTATAGAGGGTTACAGTTACATAAGTAAGGTAGTGAGTACATTTATTTATTTATTTATTTTTGTCGCTCATTGGGCTTGAACTCTGGGCCTGAGCACTGCCCTCAGCTCTTCAGCTCAAGGCAAGCACTCTACCACTTGAGCCACAGCACCAGGTCCAGTTTTCTGAGTGGTTTATTGGAGATGAGTCTCTCAATGTACTCATTATCTTGCCCATATAATTGTAACCCCTCTGTATGGTATTTTCACAAGAAAAAAAAAAAAAGAGTCTCACAGACTTTTCCTGCCCCAGCTGGCTTTGAACCGTGATCCTCCGATCTCAGCCTCCTAAGTAGCTAGGATTACAGATGTAAGCCACCAGCGCCAGGCAAACTTCCACTTCTTAATGGTTCTGCTACCTCCCATAAGCTGGCCACAAGTCCTTTAGCATGTGGGCATTTGGAAGACATTCAAGATCCACACCAAGTCTATTAGTGGCAGGACAGCTGTGTAGCTGTAGTGAAGGAGGCTCCAGTTTGACTTACTGATTTTTTCTTATGGTACTGGGGTTTAAACTCAGGGCCTTGAGTTTGCTAGGCCTGCATTGTACCATTTAAGCCACACCTTTACCCCTTTTTTGTTTATCAAGTAGAGGTTCAAATTTCTGCCCAGTGCAGCTTCAGATTATGCTCTTTCAATCCACTCTATTGCTCTATGCCAGAGATTCTAGGCTTGAACCCGGGGCCTCAGGCTCTCATTCAGCCATGTTGCTCACAGATGTTGCCATGCCACCTGAGCCACACTCCACTTCCTGTCTTTTGCTGGTTAGTTGTAGAGAAGTCTCTAATGTATTTTGCTTGGGCTGACTTTGAACCATGATCTTTACATCTTAGCCTCCTGAGCAGCTAGGATTACAAGTGCAAGCTACACAGCCCAGCTTTGAACCCCATCTCAAACATTCCCCCACTGCAATGTTACCATACTGGAGACCAAGCTTCTGGCATACAAACCTCTGAGGGACAAACTACATCCACATGAGAGCACCATCCTCCAAGACCCTAAGATGACATCAACTAAATGTTGGGTATAATGTTTTAAAACAACTTTTTGCCAGGACCTGGTAGTTTACGCCTGCCTGTAATCCTAACTGCTCAGGAGGCTGAGATCTGAGAACTACAATTCAAAGCCAGTGGGAACAGGAAAGTCCATGAGACTCTTAGGGCCAATTAACTACCTGAAAACTGGAAGTGGCGCTGTGGCTCAAAGTGGTAGAATGCTAATTTTGAGCAAAAAAAAAAAAAAAAAGCCCAGGGACAGTGCCCAGGCCCTGAGTCAAGTTCCATGGCTAATAAAAACAAAAGACAAAAACAAAACAACAAAAAAACTCATCCAATGTCTCTTCACATAAGGAAAGACTATTCAGAAGCAAAAAAACAAAAAAAAAAAAACTAAAGAAATGTTGAAATGCCATCCTTTACCTCAAAGATAAAGCTTTGAGCCTGTCATAGGGCCTAGCAGACAGAAGACAAAGCCCAAGTATCACTCAGGTAGAGGCCTCAAAGAGACCTCAAATCGCTACCCCTCTACATACTTGCAGTAGATGAATCCCAAGGCTGCTGTGACAAATTGCCCATCTTTTGGGTGATTTAAAGCGCCAGAATTCATCCTCAGTCTAAAGTCAAAACTTAGTTTCACCAGGCTGGAAACAAGACACTAAAAGCACCTGGGGTTCTGGGGAGAATCCATGTCTTGCTGTTAGGGACTGTCAGTATTCTCTGCACTGTGGCCATATCCGTCCTCTGTGATCACATCCATTTGTCCTGTCTCTCCAGTCTCCCCCCCTTCCCCCCCTCCCCCGCTGCATTCAAGGCTCCCTGGGGTCAGCCAGGACAGCTCTTCCTCTCAAGACTCTCCAGCACAGTTGCAAGAGTTGCAAAAAAATCCCCTTTCCAAATAAAAAGCTCACAGCTGGGCACTGGTGGCTCATGCCTGTAATCCTAGCTACTCTGGAGGCTGAGATCTGAGGATCACGGTTCAAAGCCAGCCTGGGCAGGAAAGTCTGTGAGACTCTTACCACCAACGAGCCACCACAAATGAAAAGATCACATTCACAGGAGCCAGGTCCAAGGACCTGGTTGTCTTTGGGGGTCATTGCTCCGGCCACTATCCACACCCGTGGGAGTACAGGGAAAACATTGGGGATACCACTGCTTTGGTTTCTAAGTGAAGTGACATATCTAGGTGAGCAAAAAAACCTTCAGAATTAACCACTAGAAACCACAAAGTCCAGAAAGAATGCACCTTGGGGAAGAGCCAGCAGGAAGCACAAGCTAGTAAGCCAGAGCCACAAAGATACCAAACAGCAATATAAATTCTCCAAGATCACACAGCGCACAGACCAGGAACCAAGCGTACTGAAGGCATTGCTGGGGAGGAGAGTGGCAATCAACCATTCAGCCCTGCCAGGCTGACAATGGACCGCAAATTTCCATGGCTTTTCACAACCAAGCCTTGTTTCTCATTCACGTCACATGTGCCCAGAGAATAAATGTGGGTCTATTCGAATCTGACTTCTTCGTTCCAAAATCTAGGTTAACAGACACACTGAAAGGAAAATGCTCCTGCAATTGATGTTTCTTTTCCTTTCCTTTGTGGGTATGTCACCTCTGTCCAAAGTCTCCTGGTCAGACATTGCCAAGTTCAATGTAAGTAGAACGAAGATGTTTACTTCCCCTCCAGGAACAAGCAGCAAATCAGATCAAAACAGGTAGAAGTGGATCATTTCCTTGCAAGAAAAGGAGAGAATAATGGAACCAAGAATTATAATTACAACAAACTAACACATGGCTGAACAGATTGATGGGAGCTAGGGGTGGGACTATAACTAGAAATGAAATGAATATGTTGATAAATAAATATGATGACTAAAGTTTAAAAAGCCTGAATGACAGATTAGATACAGCTAAAGAGAGAATAAGTTGAGCAGAAAGAGAAGGATGTTAGGTTCTCCAAAGACAGAGATCCAATAGGAGTTAGATTGCTCAGAATCTGCCACAGACAGACTGAAGAACAGGAAGAGCTATGTTTCACCCTGAGTCCAAAGACAATATGCAGGCGGAATTAACCCTTCTTCAAAGGCCCTCATCTTTTCTCTCTTAGGCTCTCTTACTGATGAGTCCAGCCCACATTATGGAAAACTGTCTGCTACATTCAGTCTCCTGATTTAAATATTACTCTCATCACCTTCAAAGTAATACCAAGACTAGTATTTGTCCAAATATTAGTACCCTGGACAACCCACACTGACACATAAACTACCACTGGGAGAGTAGATGTGCAACTGCTTTTTATAATCATTTTTCAACACTGTATACAAAAATACAATTGTTGGGGCTGGGAAGGTGGCTCAGTGGTAGAGCGCTTGCCTTGCATGCCTGAGGCCCTGGGTTTGATTCCTCAGCACCACATAAGCAAAAAGAAAAAAGCCGGAAGTGGCGCTGTGGCTCAAGTGGTAGAGCGCTATCCTTGAGCTGAAGAGCTGAGGGATAGTGCCCAGGCCCAGAGTTCAGGCCCCACGACCGGACCAAAAAAAAGAAAAAAGCCGGAAGTGGCGCTGTGGCTCAAGAGCCTTGAGCACTAGGAAAAAAAAAAAACTCATGGACAGTGCCCAGGTCCTGAGCTCAAGACCCAGAGCTGGCACACAAAATAATAATTATGTATATATATTTATTTATTTTGTCAGTCGTAGGGCTTGAACTCTGGGCTTGGGTGCTGTCCCTGCACTCTTTAGCTCAAGGTGAGCACTCTACCGCTTGAGCCACAGTACACCTGTGGTTTTCTGGTGGTTAACTGGAGATCAGAGTCTCACAGACTTTCCTGCCTGGGCTGGCTTTGAACTGTGATCCTCAGATCTCAGCCTCCTGAGTAGTTAGGATTACAGGCGTGAACCACTGGCACCTGGCAATAATAATAAAGGGGTTGCCACTATCAACTTAAAATTGTATGGGCTACAAAAAATATTTCCCAGGAAAAGCTATTGCTAAAAGTAAAAACAAAACATTGCTCTCAAGAAAAGAGATAAAACAGACTCAAACAAAACAGTTTCATATCAAAGACTATTATTAAAGATCTAAAGGATTATTTCAGACAGAAGGAAACTGATCCCAAAAGCAATGGTGCTATAAATAAATACAGGAAAGAAATGGACACACATGCTGGTTAACCTAAACAAACACTGATTACACAAAAATATAATTTAAGGGGCTGGGAAGGTGGCTCAGTGGTAGAGCACTTGCCTTGCATGCTTGAGGCCCTGGGTTCGATTCCTCAGCACCACATAAGAATAAAGCTGGAAGTGGTGCTGTGGCTCAAGTGATAGAGCGCTAGCCTTGAGCTGAAGAGCTGAGGGACAGCGCCCAGGCCCAGAGTTCAGGCACCACAACCGGACCACCCCCCCAAAAAAATATATATATATATAATTTAAATGAGACCTACTGCCTAACATGGTAATTATAGTTCACCATGTA